TCCTAAGATTAAAATTCAAGATTTCATCATTTGACGATAAATCATAACTTTCTTATTAAAAAAACCTAAATAATGAACAAAAAGAATAGGGGGGAAATAGGGTTTTGAGAGAAGGAATACTCAGCGGTGGCTAAAGATTATTAGGTTCGATTCTGCCAGCGAGCGTCCTCACGGTGAAATCAGAAGACGGAGCTCTTTTATCCTCATCGTATCACCTTCTCCTTTAAATTTCGCAAAATAGGATAAAAAAACAAGGAACCATTAGAAAAAAGAAAACAAACAAAAAATGAGATTAGAGATTGCTCAGTTCAGCGGGGTCGTCGACACGCAAATCTCCCTCTCTCTCTCTCTCTTGAAAGAAAAGAGACCTACAATCCGGTCTGTTGAGCTTGAATTTTCGGAGTCATCAATGCAATCTCCGTAGGAAGAAAGGAGAGATTTTGAGCGTAAAACCCTAAAAAAGATAATAATTTTCGGAGTCATCAATGAGATTAGAGACCTATAATATTTTCTTTGAAGGAGCCGCCAAGGTTTTGGTAGAGTTGGGAGGTGAGAGTGAGGCCTATGGATTTATAGGGAAGAGGAGCTAGGGTTTCTGGCGAATTTATGGGGAATTTATGGGGAATCGTCCGCAACAGCCGTGGAGAAACGTTGCTAACGGATATCATGGGCTAAGTTTGAGGTGCAAACAAGATTGACGGGGCCGCGCTGCGGCCCAAGATATCAAAATAGCCGAGACGCATTTTCCCCATTGGACATCTGAGGTTTGACGGCCCAAACTAATTTGGGTTAATTAACTATCAAGTGTCAGACGCAACCCACACCGGTTGGTTTGATTTATTTATTTTTTTTCCAGCTATCAGTTTCTTTTTTTTTTAATTATGGTCTTACTTTTAAAAATTAAATTATACTAGTATTTAGACCCGTGCAAAACACGGTTTCTAAAAGATTTTCTGTAAATATTAAACATGTTATCAAAATAAAGTATTCCGCTTTAGATATAAAGTATATGGGTGCTATTTGCTTTTTTTATTATTTGTTCAGATATTCGATCAATTTTGATTCAATAGTTCATTTAGTACTAAACAAATAATTTTCCGTGTTTGGCTTATAAATGAATAGAATTTAACCAAAAGTACGTTTGATTCGGTAGTTCATTAATTATTCGATTCAATAACTTTTTAATATAATTTAACCAAATGTATGTTTGAAAGTTCATTAACTGTCGATTCGGTAGTCCTATTAATTGAACTTATTGCAAATATTACTTATATAAATTTTTATTTACAAATGCTACCCATATAAATAGGTAAAAATTGGGTTCTAGGGCTAGGGAAGTTAAAACGCTGAAGTTTAAGAAGTGGAGTCAGTCAATTGTGTGGAAAATTGAGCAAATATTTACTAAATTATATAGAAAAACTTCTATTCATTTTCGCGGTTTGATTTTCAGATCCTAATTAGGATGGTGTGCTTATTAGTAATCAAAAATAAGATCAATATAAATCTATTGTACCATATGAAAAATTCCTAAAATCTTTGAGAGAATGCTAAAAGGTTGTTTTGAGAATTGCATTCATATGTATGACATGTTATAAAGCTAAAAGGCTGTACAATTATTAATATTTAGTTTCACATAAAAATATTTAATTGTATAACTGCAAATACAATTGTCTGAGCATTTTTATGCATGTTTCTTACACGCAGTGAGCCTTTTGAATGTTGCTTCAACAAAATAGACAATTTTTTCGAGCATAAAACTTTGATTAAAAAGGTTCCTCCAAAAACTTACATAAAAATGTTACTTAATAAAGAATTTTTACAATTGAACACCGCGTACAACTGCAAATACAAATAACATTATTAGTTTCATAATTAAAGGGAATAAACAATATACATGTGGTTATGATAGTTTTATAATTATCATAACAACTCAAAATTTTGCATAAATAAAAAACAGAATAAAAAATAGTAATAGAAATCATTAAATAAATGGGAAAAACTAAAAAACATGTTTAAGTGTTTACCCTTTGACAGTGAAACCTCCAAAGGAGCAGGAGAATCAGGGAAAAAACCCTTCATAATCCTCAATATCCACTTCCCCACACCCCTACAACGAAAAATCTTTAACTCAAATCAACCAATTGCATCAAAAAAGGCAAACTTTGAAATACCTACTTGATCTTTGAGAGATATTTCATGTTCTTGATGGGATTTTTGGAACTGCAGATACTTCGATAAGCGTTGGAGAGGAGAAGGAAAAACTACATAGTCTGTCTAACCTCATCAGCAGAAGGTGAAAGCTCTTTTGATGATTAAATAAACCATTCTCCTTAACTAGGGGTGGCAATTTATGACCCGACCCATCAACCCAACCCGACCCGACCCGTTTATTATAGGTATGGGTCAAGTTATATGGGTCGGGTCATAAACGGGTCAACCCGAACTGACCCATTTATTAGATGGGTAAGTTAGGGTTGACCCGAACTGACCTGTAACAAAGAGCAAGACTTTCCCTTTCTCTACAATGCACGTTTTGGGTTAGGGTTTTGATTCTCGATAGATTTCGGAAATGGGGAGCGTGACGTTGGAGGACGCCTCCGATCGGTGCGGGAGCTATAGCCCTAGTGCTGATGTTAGTGAGTCGGAGACCTCGTCTGAGTTCTCAGTGCGGAGGTTCTCCGGCGCGGGAAGAGGCAGAGGCTGCGGTGGGGCGTCGAGCTCGATGGCCTCGTCGCCGATGAAGACGGCGAGGGCCGCGATGGCGATGATGGCAGACGCTGATGTTGTTTTCTGGGAGGGGAAGATCGAGAAGAGGGAGACGGAGTTTAACGGTTTGCTCTTTATTCGTTTACCTATGTTTTGGATCTGATATTTTTGCTCTTTTGTTCAATCAATCCGTACATTTGATTCTGGTTTTTTTTTTGTTTTTTGTGTGTATGTTAGTGATGTGGGGATTATGGAAGAATTGAAGAAAATGTAGATGGAATTAAAGAAAATTTCATGATTCTGAAGGAATTTGGTGGATTTTAAAACTTTCTTAAACTTCTAATAATCACTAAAATGTATAAATTGGAAAATGTAGTTTTAAAAGTTCATTTCTTCAGACTGTATATAATGAAAATGCTATGTGCTTTCTTCAATTTTTGGATTGGAATTTCCCCAGATAGTTGATGCGTATGTATGTAGAATGACATTGTAGCCATTCAATATTTTGTTTATCTCCAAATGTGGAAATTTGCAGTGAACCTTTATAAATATATCAGAAATAGTAACCTGGTTTTTGTGTGCATAAGTCACTTAAAAGAGTACAATAGAATATGCAGGTTTCTACTACAACCACACTAAATGTTTAGTATTCTCTACCAATATATGGGTCGGGTCGGGTAACCCGTTTAATAAACGGGTCGGATCGCATTGACCCATTTATTAAATGGGTCGGGTCGGGTCACACTTATACGGGTCGGGTCAAATTTTATACGGGTCGGGTCGGGTCGGGTCGACCCGTTTGCCACCCCTATCCTTAACCCAGTATCCTTCGTCTGAAACAATTTCGTCACGGCAAAAAAACACCTTTGTCACCTCAACCTATAACATTTTGGTTCAAAATTAGAGTTTACCGCATAGTCTGTCTATACAAAATGCAGCGAGGTCAGGAACTAACCTTGGTGAAAGTTTCTCCTTGATTTAATAGATACAACAATTTTGTTATAACCTGGATGAAATAACATAGAAAATATAAATTAAGATATTGAATGAACAGATCAAGGCCAAAAAGAGTGAATCATGTAAATCATTGACCTAAGAGCATCTCCTTACATCTAGTTGAGGATCATGAAATACCCCTAGCTTCTTGCAGGACCGCGCCCTTCTCAATCCCTAGAAACAGAGAGTAATTTGCAGCATAAAAATGGAGATAAAAAAGTAAAATCATCAAAACTCCACAAATTTGAGGGAGAAATCCCAGATCTACACGCCAAACTCCCACATTACAGTATGTCTCAAAATTTGAACCATTCCAACAACTCCAGATCTAGGTCCTGAGATCCTGAGATCCAGTAAACCATTGAACTTTCTTTAGTCACGCCAAAGATCCTGAGAATCACGGTGGGACCCGAAGAATTTGGAAGAGGGGGTGATGGGGAGGGGGGAGGAGGGGAGAGGAGTGTTTTCGGAAGACTTGGTGGGATCGCTGAAGATGAGGAGATGGGGAGAGGGAGGAGGAGATGGGGACGGAGACCTCATTGTGTTCGAGGAGAGGGCAGAGAGGGGAGGAAGGGGAAGGGAAGGAAATTCGCTTTCATCACTCTCATTTTTTGTTTTTGTTTTTTTTGTTTTTCTGTATCTTTTCTGAAGAAATATTGAGAGAGGAAGAGAGAGATTCATGGGGTGGTTGCCTTTATTCAAGGAGAACGTGGGGTTGTAGAAACTGAAGTTTGGAGAGAGAGTACGAAGATGAGTTGGAACTTTTTCAAAAAAAAATCAAAAACTCTGTTTACATTTTTGTAGTCGGTTATTTAAACTTAGGCACGTAAACATTGTTAATCAAAAAACCTTATGTTACTGTTCATTATAAATTTTTTGTTGTTCTCCTTTAGTAATAAAGAAGTAGATTTGAAACTTAGGAAAATTGTGTCGAGGCCCCAAAAGTTGGGACTTCATGTGACCAGACACCTTGTATTTTGACCCATGTGATTCAGCCTTAAAAAATATTATTTAAAATTTCAAGGCCCCTCTACGTCAGCAGTACAAAAAAAAGATTGTATTAAAAAAAACCTAAAATTACCACTCCACTTATCTTCCCCAGACGCCTGGTCCCCAAAACATGGAAAGTCGCATCCATTAATGCGATCTGACGAAAAAAATAGAGGAAAATTTCTCGTCTTTTTTAAACTCTATCATGAGCAATAACTCATGTTAGTTCTAAGTTATTTAATATTAGTTCTAACTTATTTCATGTTAGTTCTGACTTATTTCATATTAATTCTAGTTTGTGTTAAAGCTAACTTTAAGTAGAACTAACATAAATTTTTTAGCCTACTTGGTCTAGTGGTAAAGCTTAGGAATTTGGAGAGGAGGTTAGTGTTAGACCCTAGAGGGGGGTGATTAGGGTCTTATGCTAATCTAATCCGATTTTATGCCAATTAAAACTAATAATAAGTTATCCTAGCAAGTATGAAATACAACAATATATATGAACTAGGATAAGCAATATGAACAACAAGATATATCCTAACAAAGAGATATAGGCAATGTATGTGCAAGGATATATAAACTAACACAAAGGTGATATAATTAAACTACAAATGTGATAGTACAAAATAAACAATGCAAACACACAATATGATCACGGAGTTCGGACCTTCCGTCCTACGTCTCCGCTCCCCACTCCCGGGGAGAAATCCACTATCACAACCGGGTTTTCTACGTTCACCCGAATAACTTTTACACCTCACACTCGGTTTTCTAGCTAACCAAAAACTTCACAACAACACACTATTGTAATCGCACTCTACACCCACTAAGTGTTGAACTAGACGTGTCTCCCTCAAGTCTCGGTTACAACCTCTCCCTAGGTTCGTCAACCGACGCCACTCCTCTTAGGACGATCCTCGACTCTCGCCACACACTTCTCTCGGTGTACAAGTGTATTACAAAGTGTATCTCACGATTAGGCTCAATTACAATAATTGATTGTTCTCAACTATGGATGAGAACACAATGAAAGCTCACACTCAATGTTACAAACTCTCACAACCCTAATATTACTATGTATGCAAATACAATAAGCTCATGTGGGTGTGTGTAAACAATGAGTGAAATAAAATCTAAACTCAATATAAAAACTAGCTTTAAAGAAAGATAATCAAATAACTAAGCAAATGTAAAACTAGATAAGAGTTTAGAAAACTTCTCAATAGATCAAGAGATCGAGGGAGAGTAGTTGGATGCCCAAACACCAATAGACGATCTCCTCAAGCTCTTGTGAAATTGCCCCAAAAACAAACTAAACAAACTTAAACTCGTTTAAAACTTGTTAAAACATTCTCTTGGGTTAATGAGAACTGAGATCAATGGGGTATTTATAGCCTCCAAGAACCTCAGCCAAAAACCCCAAACAAAATGACAAAAACAGCCCCAGCAACGGTAACAAAAATAGCCGTTGGAAACAGAACTGACTGAGCGGTGGTCGACCGGAAATTCTCGCGGTCGACCGCGATCTAGGTCTTAATCTGAGAATCGAGCAGGAACTTCGTCGGTCGACCGGTGCGGTCGACCAAAGGAAATATCGAGCTCTCGGTCGACCGGTGTGGTCGACCGACAAGCTCTCTGCTGCCCAGAAACAAATGAACAATTGAGCGGTCGACCGGTGAGGTCGACCGAAAACTGATATGACAGAAAAACAGGTTTTAGAGCTGATTTTGAGACTTTGGAAAATATGTTAAAAATAACAAATGAAGTCCAAAAATAATGAAACTTTGGGAAATATATATAAACATGTAAATGAACATGTTACAAAAAGAATTTCTAAATTGCATTTCCCATTTGTGAAAAATAATCATTTTGCAAAATAGTTCAAAACACGAAAATGTAAACATGTGAATTTTGATATTTTGGCTAAACCATGTTTTGAAACTTTGCACAATGATTATATAGACTTAATAAAATATGTATATGATTATTGTTAAGTCCAAAAACTAAGAATACAGAATTTTCACAAAATTGCATATTCTATGCAATGATTTCAAAAACACAATAGTAAATATGAAATATGTGATTTCATATTATAAACATGAAAACCCAAAACCATGCATGTATATAAATATATATAACTATATATATGCATAGAAACCAAAACTTATGTTACCCAAGCCGATCTTGATCTTCAATAAGCTTGACTTGGTACACATGCGGATGAAGCTTGAACTTGATCTTTAACTTGAATTGTATGTTGCTTCACTCCATAATTCCGCCAACCTCCATTTGATATCGTTGAAGCTCTATTCCATCCATCCTCCAACTCGTTGTTTGCCTGGAATAAATACGTAAACACAAACACTAGACAAACAACATTAGTTGTAAATTATTTGTTAAACATCATCAAAACAAGAAGGCCAACAATACTAACAAATGAGAATTATTGACATTCATTGTTAATAGCTAACAACAAATGACAATTACAACATACAGTTAAACCTCCTGTTGTTAAAATACTTTTTACGCCGCAACAGCTACCCTATGTTTCATCTACTTTGCTTTTGCAAAATAACCTTTTGATGTAGTAACATCATCCAACCAAACAATTATGTTGACATTTACACATACTTTGAACAATATAGAACTCCAATTACCCTAATCCAAACATACCCCAACAAATTCACATAGATTTCATAAGAACTTCAATAAAATGATCTTTGCTAGCAAAATTACGCCACAAGACAACTAATATCTTAAGCCATCCAAAAATTCTTATCACTGCATCAAAACAGACAAAAAAACTAATATATTCATCAAAAACAAAACAACTAATATATTCATCAAATAGCTAATTTATATACTCACAATCTTCAAATCCATCAGCTCATTAAAAGGCTGATACATGGTCAGTCTTGCAATAGTCAAACCCCCTTTCCTCTAATCCATCAACGCATCCTCCAAATTCCTCCGCTGCCAATCCTCAATCAGATCCAGCGACAACTGCTCTAAAACCAAAAAACAAACCCTGAAAATCTCGATACAAATCAAATATTTGCACCAAAAGAAAACAGTTATTGCTACCACCCCCATTACCTTGAACTTCGCTAGTCCGAGTTGAATCACCCCGCTAGGGTTTGACACCGAATCGTACAGATCCTTAGCGCACCTCTTCATCCCAACATACTAAGTATAAACTTTATTTAACTATTGTAAAAAATATATATTTAGAAACTTCCAATGACAAAATGAAGTAGAAGCATTATGCAAAACTTGCACAAAGAAAGTGCAATGATGGATGGGGACAGGAGAAGACGGGACTCAGATGAAAACTGGACCACCCATATTAACTAAACCCGACCCGATCCCCTGTTTAAAAGTTGCCCGTTAGGACTCTTTGCTCTCACTTCTTCTTCCTCAATCACCCCTCTCTCTCTCTCTCTCTCTCTCTCTCTCTCTCTCTCTCTCTCTCTCTCTCTCTCTCTGTGTGTGTTTGTGTGTGTGTAGATGCAATTATCTTCTCTCGCTTCCTCCAATAATGGAAACCCAAAAGCCCAAACTCACCCACACACCCTCCTCCCTCCTCCACTTACCCACCCTCCGTTCATCCACCCACAACCTCTCCTCCCTTGATGAACAGCACCCTCAAGTCCCCGACTCTAAAAAGACTAAAAAGTACCCAAACCCACTTACTCACCCAACCTCGACCTCGTCCCCTCTCCTCCCTCTCACCCTCTTCTCTCTCCTCTTCACCCTCCTATTCACCCTCACAGTCCTCACCATCTTCTTCTCCTTCGCCCCTCTCTTTCACCCACCTTTTGGTCTTCACCCTCTCCATCGCCCTCCTCTCTCTGTTCTTCAAAAAAAACCCGATCTTTTTCTCTTCGGTAATCGGCTCAAATCGACGTAATCGGTCCGCTTCTCTTCAGCCTTCTTCCTTTCTCTTTCTCTGCTTCTCTTCGGAGTCTTTATTCTTTTAGGGATGTGTTAAGGGTAGTTTTGGGTTTTGGTAAATGTTTCTCTCTGTGTTGAGTTGGAAAGGTAAATAGGGGCTCAAACACAATTATTCTATGTATTGGAGGTATCCTCACACAAAAAATAATACAGGGGGGGTTAGTCATAATCACTTTCTTTTTTTGGGGCATTGACACATTTTTCCAAAAAAAAATCCTAGAGAAAACTCACAGTATTTCTCTAGATGATATAGAGAAGGATGGAATGCTTATGCGATAGCTAGATGAATAAAAAATCAGCTAAAATATTTGATCCTTTTTTCATGTCTAATAGTTAGTATTAACATCAATTTAGATTGTAGCTTAAAGATAATAGCTTATTTAGCTAAAATGTAAAATCAAAGCAAATATAATAATAAAATTTAATATGAAAGAGCATAATATCTGATATTAAGCTGCAAAGTACCAACATAAAAAAGCAA